AAAATATGTGGTCCTATATCAGATTCTCTCTTTGACACTCAAGAAGGTTGCCCTTGGCTTCTTATTTAAGATCAATGAACTTGGTCCTTCACATTCCATCTCCTCCATGTAGCAATCAGACCTCTTTATACCTCAAGAGCACGAGAAAAATCTAAAACTCAGTGAATAAACAGTTTCTTAAAACATTCAGATCTGTCTGCCAACTAAAGTTTTCTCTCTATGATCTACAAGTTACTGGCACAATTAATTATGTATTGGTGACTTTAAATTAAAAGCCGTACTTTAAAATGAAGGGCTATCGGGGCTGAGCCAGAAGATGGTGATGATGACAACAAGGATAAATTGAAAATTTGCGGCCAGGTGGGTTCCAGCACTTGGCATTTCTTAAGCCTTGATATCCTCAGGATTTATTATCGCTTTCAGGGTCAATCCCAAGCACAAAGGCTATAAGGTCTTCCTGCGTTCTCTCTCATTTCAAAACGAAAGCTGTTGTAAAGTGCATTTGCTAATTAGATGTGAAGGCAACCGCAGAAGTCAGGGCTCTTCGCAAGGACAAGTGGGACGGAACTTGCGAATAGCCACAAATGCAAATGTCACCAACCTGCTTTAGATAGGGGTGGGAGGGATCCTCTGGCTTCCTTTATCTCTGGAGTAAAATTTTTCAGCCATTTCAGTCTTGGTTGACTTATTTTGGCAAATAAACAAGTATGCCCCCCTCCACCGCCCATCCCCCAAGCCTGAGAATATTTCAAGAGTTTGTCAAATACAAAGCAACAGGAAACCAGAAACGCAGCAACATCTCCATCGCGGGTCCCCGGCACAAACACAAGTACAAAAGGCACACCCGCGCCTTATTTAATTTCTAAAATCTTCCCAGGATAGGCATCATCTGGGAGAGACGCAGGCGTGGGAGGCGCAGGAAGGGAGCCCCAGGAAGTTTCTGTCTGTCGGGCGCCGGCGTTTAATGAGGGGGTGTGCACCTATTTATACGTGGGTAGCGCTCCGGCAAACAAGTCTGGCGACATACGAGAAGCTTTTCACCCAGCAAATAATAGGAGACTGTGCAGCCCCGGGAAGCCAGTTACCAGAGAAGGAAGCTGGGAGTTTAAGGAATTTCCTTTAAGGAAACTGCCCGTGGGGGCATCAGTTTCAGGGGGTGGGAGAGCGCGGCAGGAGCCGGCAATAAGCGGTACCGAAGGGCGGAGACCCAGAGTCGGAACGCGCCGGCCCCGCGAGCACCTGGACCCCCGGCCCCCTCGGCCCCCAGCGCGCTGGGCCCGCGCACACCTAACCCCGGCCCCACCTCCGTCCCCGGCCCCATCTCCGTCCCCGGCCCCCTCAGCCCCGGCGCCTCTGGGCCCGAGCGCCCGGCCGGAGCGGGGAGCGCGGCTTCCGGTTCACCTGCGCGCCGGGCGGCTCGGGCCGAGGAGGCCGGAGGGGGGCGGCCGCGGAGCTCCCGGAGCGCCCAGGCGGACCCAGGCCCTGCTCCCGCGCGGTCCCTTGCCCCTGCCCGGCGCCTCCCGGGCCCCAGCGGTTCGCGCGTGAGTGAACAGGGACGCCGCCCGCCGCCCGCCGCCCGCCGCCCGCTCGCCTGGGTCTTGTCGAACTGCTCGCGCTCGGCCTCCAGGCTGTGGCCCGGCCTGCGGCTCAGCACCCGCGCCGGCACGTTCTTGATGCTGTTCATCCTGCCGCCACCGATCGCTCCCGCTCGGCTCGGTCCGCGCGACTCGGCTCCTCACAGCCCGGCAGCCCCTGCCTAGGCACCTCGAGGCCGCCGCGCCGCACCCGGGCCCGCCCGCCGGGGAGGAGCCGGCCTCGCCCCGCCCGCCGCGCGCCCCGCCCACTGCGCCCGCAAACGCCGTGCCCTCCCCCAACTCCAGGGCGCGCCCCTCCCCCGCACACCTCCAACCCCACCCCCCGCGACCCCGAGACACGCCCCTCCCCCCGCACGCCCCCAGCCCCCGACCCGCAGCGACCCTGGCACACGCTCCGCCCCCCACGCACCTCCAACCCCACCCCACTCACCAGATTGGGGCACAGGCCAAACGCCCCCAGCCCCTCCCCACCTCTAATCCCCTCCCTAAACCCGGAGAGGAGGGGAGAGGGAGGCGGAATCCCCCCCTCCGATAGGGACCCCGGCCAATTCCCTCCCCTCTCCTTCCCCAAACTCACTAAGTCTTGTCTACACCAGGGCAGGATCTGGTTAATTGGAGAAAATCTGGCCTCCATGAGTCTGGTCGGTGGCAGCACAGGCAGGCTTTTTTTTTCCTTTTTGGTCTTAATGTATGTGTCAAAAGGCACACAATGACACTCTCCCCTCTTTGTGCATCTCCGACATAGCTGCAGCTGTTATCCACGCGGGGATGCAGGATGCATTTCCAGAGACGCAGCCGGCTCCGCAACCGGACACCTCGCCAGCGCCAGGGACAATGGGGGCTGAGGCCAGGCGGAATTAGGCTGGGACAGAAGGCGAGCGGATCTGAACGACAAAGTACACCAAGGAGATGCCGCCGGGGTGGCATGAGGTTTTTTAAAAAACATTATTATTATTGGCTTCCCCTTAAAATTACTGGTCACAAGACTGAAGTAAAAAAATAAAAGCCCAGAGTCCTCCCTAAGCGTAGCTCTCAGATGAGTATTTTGTTTCTGCTGTTTCCCTTTCCTATCAGAATGCAGATGTGGAATCGTGCATAAAGATCCCTTGCTTTTGAAGGGGGACGGATCATCTACCTGTAAGAAGGAAAATGATGTCCACATAAGCTTGACCCTTGTCTCCCTGGTGAGACTGTAACCTGTCTGAGATCAGGGACCCTTTAACCCGATTCCTCACCCTCCAGCCCAAGAGCTAGAGCTGACCCCAAAATGTACATTTGCCAAGGCTCTCTCACTCCATCAAAAGGAGAAATTAATCCTGTTTTCTCTAATTCCAGTCACTAAAATCTTCTTTACCAGAATAACAATAAAATCACAATAGCTAATATGTATCGAATGCTTATTATTTGACAGGCACTGGGCTAAACCCTTTACATGTAAAGGGTTTTTAATCCTCTGCAACTTGGTCAATAGCTGTGGTGAAATAAAGACCACAGTAAAGGGGCTTCTTTGCTGTACTCCAGCTGTTTATCACACTCCTATTTCCACATGGAACAAAAATGGCTTTCCTGTGACCCTTCACGCATACACAGCGTCCCTTTTCAACCAGGCAACAGCCCTGTTGGGTCTAGCACATCTGCCACAGTGACGTCCCATTAGCAACAGACTCTTTAAATAATCATAGAGCCTATTACTGTGCCAGGCACCAGGCTCAACATTTGTCAAAGAGTGTCTCACTTAGTCTTCTTTAAATTTGTTGATGACTTTATGCATCTCCAATATGGCTGAGATCTCGGCACAGTGGCTCACGCCTGTAATCTGAGCACTTTGGGAGGCCAAGGCAGGAGGATCACTTGAGCTCAGGAGTTTGAAACCAGCCTGGGCAACATGATGAAACCCCATCTCTACCAAAAAACACAAAAAAACTTAGCCGGCATGGTGGCACACCTGTAGTCCCAGCTATTCAGGAGACTGAGGTGGGAGGATCACTTACACCTGTGAGGCGGAGGTTGCAGTAAGCTATCACGCCACTGCACTCCAGCCTGGGGCAACAGAGTGAAACCCTGTCCCAAAATAAATAAATAAACAATAAAGCATCAACAGCTTTATTATTTATTCATTTATTGAGACAGGGTCTGGCTCCGTTACCCAGGCCAGAATGTGGTGGCATAATCATAGCTCACGGCAATCTCTGCCTCTCGGGCTCAAGCGATCCTCTCACCTCGGCCTCCTAAGGAGCTGGGACTACAGGCACACACCACTATGCCCAGCTAATTTTTAAATTTTTTTTTGTAGAGACAGAGTCTTGCTATGCTGCTCAGGCTGAGCTCAAGTGAATTTGCCCACCTTGAAAGTGCTGACATTACAGGCTAAAGCCACTGCACCTGGCCTCTTGAGGATATTTTTACAGACCAACAAACAAACTCGGGCTCAGAGAGTTTAGCCCAGGTTCACACAACTGGTAAACTGTGCATTCGGGATCCAGATCCAGATGGGCCTGATTTCAAAGACAGTGCTCTCAACACCCATGCCATTTGTATTACATTTTGTGGTCAATGACTCATCACTGTACTACCTTGGGCTTGCTGTTTGGGACCTGAGAGCGCTCTCCTAATACATCTCTAAGGAATTGTATTTTACGTGCTTGCAGGTAAGATTTGGAGCTATTAGAGGGCCACTCTGTCTTACCTAGTTTTATATACTCAGTGCCTAGCAGGGCACCTGACACAGAGTAATGTTCAATAAATGTGTGTGAAATGAAGAGCTGAAAAAGTGAGTAAACAAATAGAAAGAAAAAAGAAAAAAAATCCCAAAAAACAAATACCCCACCTTTTGGTATACTTCAGCATACAGCTTATGCCACAAAAGAGCATTACTGAGGACATAAAGATGCAAACTTCCCCACTCTTTTGTTTGTTTTTGAGACAGGGTCTCCCTCTGTCGTCCAGGCTGAAATGTGGCAGCATGATCTCAGCTCACTGCAACCTTCACCTCCCGGGTTCAAGCCATTCTCCCGCCTCAGCCTCCTGAGTAGCTGGGATTACAGGCATGTGCCACCACAGCCTGGCTAATTTTTGTATTTTTAGTAGAGACAGGGTTTTACCATATTGGTCAAGCTGGTCTCAAACTCCCAACCTCAGGTGATCCACCCACCCCTGGCCTCCCAAAGTGCTGGGATTACAGGCATGAGCCACAGCGCCTGGCCCAAACTTCCCCACTCTTAATTGTTCTGGTTCATCTCTGTCTCGAATATCTTCAGGCAGGTCTAGTATTGGCCCTGTCACTGATTGACTTTTTTTTTTTTTTTTTTTGGATATAGGGTCTTGCTCTGTCACCCAGGCTGGAGTGCAGTGGCTGGATTATGGCTTACTGCAGCCTCAACCTCCTGGGCTCAAGTGATCCCCCCACCTCAGCCTCCCAAAGTGCTGGCATTACAGGCAGGAGGCACTGCTCTGAATCTGAGATTCTTCATGCCATCAGAATCACGGTTCCGTTTTGGTGTATCTCAAGGGCTGTTGAATTCCTGCTCACCCCTATTATGAAAGCAAAGCATTTGGAATACAAATGAGACCTTGTTTTAAGGAAAATCCAAGACACGCAGGAATGTTTACATCATCTGGCCGGCATGGTAAGCTGCCACACCTGCACTGCCTCATTGACTCGTCTGCATGATCTGGCCCCAGCCTCTGTCCCTGGCTTCATCTTGCACCATTCTGGCCCATCAGGTCCCAGATGCGTCATGCTCCCTCCCACCTCAGAGCCTTTGGACATGCTGTTCCTACTGCCTGGAATTCTCTTCTACTTCCTGTTCGCCCTACTTAGCATCACTTGTCTTTAACTCTTGGCTCCGGTGTCACTTCTTCAGGGAAGTGTTCCCTGAACACTCTGCCCTTCACCTGAGTCCCTATGATAAGCTGTCGTCATATCTCAAAGCTTTCTTTCACAGCGCTAACCAGTCTTTCGTGACCTATTTATGGGATTCTTGGTCTGTCTCTACCACTACATTGTCTGCTTTGCTCACTGTTGTGTCTCCAGTAGCCAGCAAAGCACCTACTGTGTGCTCGAAATTCTTTGGTTCTTTTTTCGTTGGGTTTCTTAAGCATGCAACTGGCTGAGAACCCAGACATCATCCTTTAGAGGACTGATTTATGTACACTCTTCATTCAATCAACATCTCTCAGAGACCATTCTGGGCGTTTTTTGTTTGTTTGTTTGTTTGCTTGCTTGAGACAGTCTTGCTCTGTCGCCCAGAACTGGAGTGCAGTGGTTCAATCTCAGCTCACTGCATCCTCTGCTTCCCAGGTTCAAGTGATTCTTCTGCCTCAGCCTCCTCAATAGCCGGAATCACAGGTGACTGCCACCACGCCCGTCTAATTTTTGTATTTTTAGTAGAGAGGTAGTTTCACCATGCTGGCCAGGCTGGTCTCGAACTCCTGACCTCAAATGACCTGAGCCTAGGCCTCTCAAAGTGCTGGGATTACAGGCATGAGCCAGTGTGCCTGGCACCATTCTGGTTTTTAAACTTCCTTGTTGACTGCAGTCTTGATGAATGTGTCTGGTTTCTTATTTTGACCTTATTCACTCCGTTCTCTACCACACAGACAGTTGCTAAGATTATTCTGTTGAAGGCTTTGGATAATGCACTTTCCTGCAATGTGTCCTAACAAAATCGTCATGAAATGGTTCAAGAGAAACAAAGGTACACCATTGCAAACCCACCACCTGGCTACAGGTGTCAAACCACACAGAGTCACAGAAGAAAACTCCAGAATCAGTTTGCCAGAACGTAGCAAGGTTGAGTCTTCAGCCTCCTTCCTGAAATATATGAAGCTAACCCTATCCCACATAGCCAAGAAATGCTACGCATTCTATTGGTACTTTGGGGGTAAAACTGTTTTTAGTGTTTATGTATTACCTTAATTCAAAATTTTTTTGTCTTTGGGTTTTCTTTTTTCTTTTTTAGATGGAGTCTCACGCTGTCACCCAGGCTGGAGTGCAGAGGTGCGACCTCGGCTCACTGCAACCTCTACCTCCCAGGTTCAAGCGATTCTCCTGGCTCAGCCTCCTGAGTAGCTGGGATTTACAGGTGCGTACCACCATGCCTGGCTATTTTTTGTATTTTTAGTAGAGATGGGGTTTCACCATGTTGGTCAGGCTGGTCTCGAATTCCTGAGTTCATGATCTGCCCGCCTCGGCCTCCCAGAGTGCTGAGATCACAGGCGTGAGCCATTGTGCCCGGCTGGGTATTTCTATTTCTGTCTAAAAAAATCTGTTCACTGGCCAGGTGCAGTGACTTACACCTGTAATCGGGAAGCTAAAGTGGGCAGATCACTTGAGCTCAGGAGTTCAAGACCATCCTAGGCAACATGGTGAAACCCCATCTCTTCAAAATAAATACGTAAATAATCTGTTCACAGGCCAAGTGTATGCCGTGGCTCACGCCTATAATCCCAAGAGCTTTGGGAGGCCAAGGTGAGAGGACTGCTTGAGGCCAGGAGTTCGAGACCAGCTTGGCCAACATGGTGAAACACTGTCTCTATAAAAAATAAAAAATTTGGCCAAGCATAGTGGCTCATGCCTGTAATCTCAGCACTTTGGGAGGCCGAGGTCGGCAGATTACCTGAGGTCAGGAATTCAAGACCAGCCTGGCCAACATGGCAAAACCGTGTCTCTACTAAAAATACGAAAGTTAGCCAGGTGTGGTTAGGTTGTGCCTGTGGTCCCAGCTACTCAAGAGGCTACTTGGGAGAAGAATCTCTCGAACTGAGAGGCAGAGGTTGCAGTGAGCTGAGACTGCACCACTGAACACTAGCGTGGGCAACAGAGCAAAACTCTGTCTCCAAAAAAAAAAAAAAAAAAAAAAAAAAAAAAAATTAGCCAGGCATGGTAGTACATGCCTGTAGTCCTAACTACTTGGGAGGCTGAAGCAGGAGAATCACTTGAGCCCAAGAGTTTGAGGCTACAGTGAGCTATGATGGTGCCACTGCCCTCCAGCCTGGGTGACAGAATAAGACCCTGTCACTAAAAGTAAAATAATTTTTTTAGAAATCTGTTCATGGATTCTAAAAATACCCCTAAAAGAGCTCAGTCTTTTCAATGCTGAGATCATTCCTGGCAGGCTGATTGTAGTATAATTCATCTGCCTCCTCTTCAGATGTGTTGATCTTAAGAATGTTGGTGATAAAACATAAATGCTAAATCTAGTTTTATCTTATAACTATTTCAAATATGCTATGGGACTGCCTCTCTGCATCCATTAAAGTACAGGAAAAAAAAAAAAAAAGGAGACTGCCTCTCTAACAGAAATTGCTCAAACCTTAGGTGAGGAAGTATCTGCACCCCACATTCACTGCAGCACTGTTCACAACAGCCAAGATGTGGAAGCGATCTAAACGCCCATCAGCAGATGAGTGGATGAAGAAGCATGGTGGGCTCACGCCTGTAATCCCAGCACTTTGGGAGGCCGAGGCGGGCAGATCACCTGAGGCCAGGAGTTCCATACCAGCCTGGCCAACATGGTGAAACACCGTCTCTACTAAAAATACAAAAATTAGGAGTGGTGGTGCACACCTGTAATCCCAGCTTCTCAGGAGGCTAGAGGCAGGAAAATTGCTTGACCCTGGGAGGTGGAAGTTGCAGTGAGCTGAAACTGAGCCACTGCACTCCAGCCTAGGCAACAGAGTAAAACTCTGTCTCAAAAAAAAAAAGTTTTTTATATATACATATATATGTGTGTGTGTGTTGTGTATGTACACACACACACACACACACAATGGAATACTATCTAGCCACAACAACAAATGAAATCCTGTCACTTAAATAACTTAGGTTGAGCTAGATACATTGCTAATATTAAATTTCTCATTTTTTTTTTTTTTGAGATGGAACTTTGCTGAGTCTCCCAGGCTGGAGAACGATCAGTGCTGTGGAGCGATCTCAGCTCACTGCAACCTCTGCCTCCTGGGTTCAAGCGATTCTCCTGCCTCAGCCTCCCGAGTAGCTGGGATTACAGGTGTACAACACTACGGCCAGCTAATTTTTT